AAGTTCCCTCGCCAAGATTCTCACCTCTTGTACCAGCTTCTACTTGGTCCTACTTGGATTCAACTGCTCACTACACAAGCAACAGAGCGTTAGCCATCCATTTATGGATTCCCAATCTCTCTCAATCCCCCTCCCCGGGTTAGATTGAACTTAAGGTTCGGCTACACTCCCTGTAAGCACAAGCAACCAAGCACACTAAGCTTCCAAATTCCTAACATCCCTTGGTACAACAAGACTTGATCATATAGGACCCTCTAAATCCCAAGCCTTGGGTGCAACTCTTGCTTCGGGATGCTGAGGGGAAACACCATGGCCTGATCTCAGACTCAGTCCCATTCGATGAACTCTTTATCATTTTAGTCATGCTTTTAGGGATCCTTTAGCCTATGACACCTCAAGGAATTGGTTCCTTACACATGGTCATTCACCTTGGTCACATCGGTGGTTCAACACCACCTGCATCACAGTCTTGTCTCTCAAAGACTGGGCCATGCATCCATGAGTGATCATCCTAGATCCACTCCTTAGCATCCTTAGGATGCCCGCAAACATAGAGAACAATCTTCCCTAATATCCCTTTTTACAGTCCTCACCAAGTCCCTTTTCTATCTATAGCCGTGTGTAAGTGACTAAATTTTTCCATTCTACTTTAGTCATTTAACCACACCTCCGACCACTTAGAGGAGTCTCATTCACAACCTCCATAAATCCCACTCAGGACTTGGGGCTTACTAGTCCCGAGAATGGCATCCATGCCACTCAACCTTTACACTTGGTCCCAGTGCTCCACGTGTCCAGTCCCATGACCGACACCCCAAGGTACCACTGACATACCAGCCCATTACGCTAGGCCATGCCCATTCACCTTGGTCACATCAGTGGTCTAACACCACCTACATTACAATTCCGTCTCTCAAAGACTAGGCCATCCATCCATGAGTGGCTATCCCAGATCCACTCCATAGCATCCTCAAGATGCCTGCAGACATAAAGAATAGCCTTCCCCAATGTCTCCTTTTCGGTCCCCACCAAGTCCCTTCCTATCCATGGCCGTGTTCACCAACACTGCCACTGGATCAAGGCCCACTGGCCCGACTACTAAGTCCAACTGTCCTCCAGGACTTCCTCACTATGTGACTGTGTCCCTTGTCACCACACTAAAGGGCTACTCCTCTTCCTTTCCACAGTCTGGGACTTTGGGGCAACATTTCAGAACACCGTGGCCCTATGCGGGCCTTGTGGGTACTCCCCTCGCCTTTTGCCTTTGGGTGCTTCTCGGACTCCATCTCGGATTCCATCTCGGGTCCATCTCGAACTCCATCTTGGACTCCGTCTCGGACTCTATCTCGGACTCCATCTCAGGTCCTTCTCGGACTCCATCTCAGGTCCATCTCAGACTCCATCTCAGTCCATCTTGGACTCCATCTAGGACTCCACCTCGAACTCCAATTCGGGTCCATCTCGGACTCCATCTCAGACTCCACCTCAGACTCCAACTCGGGTCCATCTCGGACTCCATCTCGGACACTTCCACATGTCATGTGTTGGTCCTTTTGGGTCCTTTTTTTGGAGCCTCACTTATTGCTCGTTTCATGTTCGTTCCTTGAGCACTCCATTGGGAGTTCCACTCCCGCTCTCAACCTTTCAAGTCGGAGCCTTTTAGTCCAAATGTGTTACGCTCGTTTGGCTTTTGCTTCGGCCACTACTACGTGGCACCCTTTCGGCTCCACTTTGGGGCTTAGGGATTTGTGTCTCACACCATGTTTGCCAACATTGCTACTAAGATAAGGCCCGCAGGCCTGACCACTAAGTCTCACTGTCCTTTGGGACTTCCTTGCCACATGACTGTATCCTTAGCCACTACATCAGAGGATTGCTCATGTTCCTTTCCACAGTCTAGGACTTTGGGATAACATTTTGAAACATCATAGCCCTACAAAAGCCTCATGGGTATTCTCTCCACCTTCTACCTTTGGGTGCTCTAGCCATGGGATTAGAGTGAGGTTCCATTGAGCCACACTAGGTATCCAAATAGGTAGTACCACTCACGCTTGGACTAAGAGCATCGACCATTCGATCTTCTGGAGGAACTAGAGTCAGCTCTTGAACACTTCACCAAGTTACCCCGCTTATTAGTTTGTATTCACTTTAGCCTTAGACTTCCCAATGGTTATCTCATCACCCAACACTTGGGTACATCCTTCCTGGGCCAAACTAACCTTTCCTGGCCAAACTGGCTCTATTGGGGTCCAACCCCCACACTCTCCCTACTATACTTTTGGAACCCCCTATACCCCCACCCCCCCCCCCCTCCCCCCGGGGGACGATTGCTTTGGGCTTTCACCCAACAACTTGTATTAGTATTTGGACTTGGACTTGGACTCGGTTTCAGTCTCGGTCTCGGTTTCAAACTCGGACTCGAACTCAGTCTTGGTCTCAATTTTGGTCATAGTCTCGATTCCATCTCAGGTCCATCTTAGACTCCATCTCAGACTCCATCTCAAATCCATCTCAGACTCCATCTCAAACTCCATCTCGGGTCCATCTCAAACTCCATCTCGGAGTCCATTTCGAGTCCATCTCGGACTCCATCTTGGACTCCATCTCGAGTCCATCTTGGACTCCATCTCGAACTCCATCTCAGGTTCATTTCAGACTCCATCTCGGGTCCATCTCGGGTCCATCTCGAGTCCATCTCGGACTCCATCTCAGACTCCATCTCGAACTCCTTCTCAGACCCTATCTCAGGTTTGTTTTCTGTCCATCTTGACATTTCCACGTGTCATGTGTTGTTCCTCTTGTGTCCCTTTTCTAGAGACTCACTTACTGCTTGCTTCATGCTCATTCTTTGATCACTTCATTGGGAGTTGCATTCCCACTCTTGACTGTCCAAGTTAGAGCTCTTAATCCAAATGTGTTATTCCCGTTTGGCTTTCGCTTCAGCCACTATCACATAGCACCTTTTTGGCTCCACATTTGGGGCTCTAGGATTTGTGTTTCACAGTTAATATTATTGAGAGCCTTTGTTTTATTGTTGCTCCTAAGGAGTTTATGTATGCCCTTAAAAGTGGACGTTTTTATTAATTTTCCCAGCTCAAGTGTTAACTTGTGTGTTAAGGAGGTTGAGTAGTGTGAATATTTTGTCTATATTATAGTAGTTGAAGTATTTTATGACAAAAAGTCTCTTGCTTTCCAAGTTTTGAGTATATGTCCTTTTTATTTCCCCATTTCTGCATTGACAACTACTGAAAATTCTTTTTCCAAAGCTTCTTTATTCATTTTTCCTCTTTCATAATGTTTCTTTGCCTTGATGCTTTAAACTTTTTTTTCTTTGGAGGAGGGGTAAAGGGGATGGCCTTGATGATAGAATGAGGACAAATGAATATGATAGTAAAGCAAGGACAAATAACATAAATTGTGGAGTGAAGATGAATATAAGAAGTCCAAATAGAACATTTAGCCCCAACTTAGTGAGGCAAAATAAATGCAATAGTGGAATGAGGCCAAACATAGATGACAAAGTGAAGATGAATGTAACAAATCTGAATAAAGCTAGTACTTTAAAACATTTTTTCATTCGAGAAGGGGATAAAAAGGATATGGAGGGTAAATAAAATGTGTCCGACCTGTTATATACGATGTTAAACAAAGATAAAGGTTGTGAGTGTAAGTTAACATAGGTTTGAGATGTTAACTAAAAGGAAGATATAAAAGCAAATTCTACTTATGATCATGAGTATGAGTTAATGGTTATCTTGAAAGATTATTGGTGAGCAAATTTAAAGGTAAAATGTATTATTTGCTGCAATGGCATTTTATAAAATACAATAGTTTTTCAAATTCTTTGTTTTGATTCAAAGTTATAGTTTCAGAGCATTTAATAGTTGCATACAGAGTTACAACTAATTCATCAAAATTTTATAATCGACTAATACTTATGCCATGGCTTTAGATTTTGTTTCAGTCATAGTTGTTAACAACTACATTAGTGGTTACCTAAGAACTTCATGTTCATATGGTATCACTATATGCACAAATATTTCTTTGCTCTTCCTCTTCTTCTTCCTCCTCCTTGTCAATTAAGATCTTGTTTGGCATATTCTACTGCAATAGTTGCCTGGAAGCAAGGCTCACACACAACAGCATAGTCTTCTCAGGTAAAGATAAAGCAAGAGAGAGTTGTGGTTTCACTATTAAATCCATGGTACTTGTCAAACAGAGGCAAATTGAATGATCCCGTCACTATCCTTCAAACAGAGGCAAATTGAATGATCATGTCACTATCGTGAGCACCAATGAGACAAGGCAATTCCAGGTGCAAATCCCACCACAATTCGATGCCTGCTCCATCAAGTTCTTGAGCATAAATAGCTCATCTTGGTTTGACAATGTCAAAGTTTGTGGTTTTGTTTGCACTGGTTGCTGCTCTAGTAGTAATTTGCTTGGTGGAACTCACTAGTGCTCTGGAGCCAGGATCACTGATGTGGTGATCTTGTGTTTTCCAATTCAGTACAAAGGAGAGGAAGAGAAAAGACTTCCTGCAAAGAATGGTTATTTGCAAGATCCCAGCCTCTAAAGCTCAGCGCATACTTCGAGTCTTCATGCTCGAGGATATCCCACCACCCAGGTTCGCGCAAGGAAGCGGAGCTCTTCTTGGCGGTGGCCGTGGCGGCGGCGGCGGCGGCAGTGGCGCTAGTGTTCTTGAGCGCACTGAGCGCAAACAAGGAAGCCAGAGGATCCGCTGGTCGGCAGCTTCTTCTTCCTCATCTCCACCACCACTCCGCTCTCGAGCTCGGTGTTGGGGCGGAACCGCTCCAGGAACTCGCAAATCGGCATGTCCCACTTGCACTGTCGAGGCCAAGATTGAGAGATTTCCCCGATGCGAGCGAATATCCGCGGTAGCTTTAAATCTCCCTCCTAACGGCTACATGGGATACCTTTCTGCCGGATAGTAATCTTGTTTGGTCGAAAGCAAGAGGACAATGTTTCCTACCCACGTATCCAACGGTCGAAGTTTGTCTGAACTTCGATTAAATGCAAAACAGCCAAAAAGAGTGAAAATGTTTTAAAACCTTCCACCAACACGAAGCAAATTCACCATTCTACCACCACCATCCGACTGTCCGCCCCTTCCGCTAGGCCCACTCTGGTATGGAGTTCTTCCAACGCTACTATAAGCATCTTGGTACCTGGTACTCTGATAGCCAGCGGCGTAAGATCCTCCAGTTCCACCACCACCACCGCCACCACCACCACCGCCGCCACGCTGGTTCTTATCCCTGCCATAGCCTCCGCCACCACCGCCACCACGCTCGCCGCCACGCTCCCTCTTCCCCGCCACCGCTCCAACGTAGTCCTGCGTATCCTTGTGCCTGCTAAAGAAGTCCGTGCCGCCACCACCGGTGCGAGCATTGTCAGCGAATTCGTTCATCTCCACCAGCGTCGAGAGCTTGTCCACGAACTGAATTGCCAGAGCCTGGAGCCTCGTCGGCTCCACGTTGTGTGGGACGATGCAGCGAGTCGGCTGATCCCAGCTGCCGTGGAACTCCTCCGCTGCCATGAGCCGGCTGGCGATGCTGTGAACGAGCCCCTCCGGGAGATCAAACATCGCCATGAGCTGGTCCAGGCTCAGCGAGTCGTAGGACGATGCGTACGTGAAGAGATAAGTCCGCAGCGCCTCCTCCTGGATCTTGCTCTTGAGCATGTCCATGGCGAACTCTCGCTTCCGGAGCAGCTTCCAGATATCCAGGCCCTGGACGATCGCCACCGCCTTCTCCCAGTCGCCCTTCATCAGAGCCCGGCTCGCCGCCATGATGTTGTCACGGATGTTCTCTGGGGGCCCGATGAAGGCCTGCTTCTCGTAGATGTCCAGGAGACGGCGGAACGTCTTGCTGTAAACTTTCTTCTTCACGTCGTGCGCGTTGGCGGCCATGTTGGGAACCTCCAACAGCATTGCACAGATAAGGTGGACCGCCTCCAGCAGCTCCAGGTTGATATGCATGTGAAACGGCATTTGGCGGCGGCGTTCGAGTTTTTCCTACACAAGAAAACCACCTCACAAGTTGAGAAGAAACACAAAACTATGAAAACAATCACCTGTTCTGGAGTCTTGTCGTAAAACCGACTCTGCTGAACTCCTTGTGCAAGGAGCTCTTTCACCCGTCCGCCGGCATAGAACTCCGACAGGCACGCATGCGTTTCAGTGATGAGACCGGTCCGGAAGGCACACAGTCCCAGCTGCGCCATAGCTCTGTTGAACAGGATCTGGCTCAGGATGTCCATGTTCATGATCCCATCTTGCAGTCGGCTCGACAGCAGGAGGTCCCTCGCAGTGTAGAAGTCGTCGAAGATGGCGTAGTGATAGATGTCGCATAGCATGGCCCTGGCTTTTGTGCGCTCGTCTCCAAACTTGTAGATCAGAGTTATGAGCTCGTCCATCATAGTCCGGCTGAGGTCCGGAAGATCGGGGGTTCCCAGAACCAGCGTGCTGTCTTCCGCACCAGCCTCCGCCGTCTTCTGGCTCTCCCCGAGCTTTCTCATGGCCTCGTAAACCTCCTGAGGCTTGTAGTAGACGTGTTCCAGCCTGCGAAGTGCCACCCGAGCGGCGGCTCTCGTATCTCCAATGCGCTCCACGTACTCCTGAACACTCTGTGCCACCACCAAGAAGGCTGGCTCGTCCTTCATGCGGTCGACATAGTCCTTGGTGTGCGGATCGATCACTTGCAAGCTCTTAAAGAGCTCGTCATCCAGCCGCTCCACGAACCCAACGATGTTCCCCCAGACGCGAATCTGGCCGGGATAGTCGTCTCCCTTTTGCGTCTCGTTCTCCGACTCGGGCTCAGCATTCTCGCTCATGACAATGTTGGGATGCTGCGCTAGTATGTCCAGAATGGCCATCATGCTATGCGCACACTTCTTCCACACGTTCACCGGAAGATGCGTGTTCAAGCTCGTCGTCACGTCAAAGTGAGCCGAGACAACGTGGAGGAGGATCTCTAGCTTCTGCGCCGGGGTCTTTGCAATGGTAACGAGATAAGTGAGCTGCTCAACCTGTTCCACTCGATCGGTTCCCTTCCTCCCTCGAGCAGCAATCACCTCCTTGAGCTTCTTATCCACCATGTCCCAAGTTATCTCGCTCGGGTCCTTCTTGATGATATAGCTCGGCCCCTTGCCCGACTTCTGCCACCCATCCTCGTTATCCGACTCAGACACCGGAGCAACGTCTTGAACCTCCTCGATAAAGTCCGGCTCCGACTCCTCGCTGCTCATGTCGCCCTCGTCATCCTCGTCCTCGGCCTCGGACTCTGGGTTCTTGCGGAACTGCTCGATCTCGGCCTCGTAGATCTTGTTGTTCTTCTTGAGCTTTTGCTTCATGTAGTTGAAAGCCTTGGAATTGCTGCTGTTCATCTTCTTCTTCAGCTCCTTGTTGCCCAGTGTCTGGCTCAGGAAATCCTCGAGGATGACCAGCGCCTTGATGTAGATGCGAGGAGGAGCCGCCGTCTCAGTGACGCGCAAAACCTTCTCCAGCTGCTTGTTGATCTTGTCGAAGCTCTCCTGGAGGCTCACCCAGTCGTTGATCTTCATGTGATTGCGGATCTGGTCGATGGTTGCCGACATCTCGTCGAACCTCTTGACCTTGGCCGAGCGGACGACGCGCTTCTCATCCTCCGACCCCTCGCTATCGCTCGTTTTGTTGAGATACTTGTTCCCCGCCTCGCCGGGCGTGACGATATCCTTGAAGTCATCGGCATCCTCGCTCGATTTCACATCGTCCTCCGAGTCGCTATCAACTCCCTGCACGAAAACAAGCAATCAATACCAAGAGCAACACGAATCCGACGCACCTGGTCCCAGAATTTCGACATCCCGAGCGCCAATTCGGTCGCCAATTCGATCGCCAATTCGCCCTAGCCGAGCCGCTGCTAGAACCCTAACTTTGAAAAGAACCCTAGATTTAAGAGAGATCCATATCGTACAATAGGATTCAAATTGAACGGTGGGCATGGTTTTTACAAATGGGAGGAGAAATGGAGAGGATTTCTTCCTCCTCTAGGTAATGTCGGCGATCGAGAGAAGTTTCTAATCGTCCATGGTGATTCCAGAGTTTGTTGCCGCGGATCTCTTTCTCACACTTCTTCTTCTACGTCTCTGGAGTCACGGCAAGAGAGGCGATCGATCGAGCTTAGGTTAGAAGCGCTAAGAATGCGATGGATGAGAGAGCTTACTCCTCTTCGGCGGCGTCGTCGTCGTCGCATGGGCGATGGGGCAGCGGGCGATCGTCTCGGTGGCGCCATTCCTTCGCTCTCTCACAACTCAAATGGCGCCCGCCAAAAAACATATACCCTGAGCCAAGCGTCACCGTGACCCTTGGATCCGCCACGTCACGCGGGCGGACACTGCCACGTCATAAATCCGTTAGAAGAAACCCTTGGCTTCCCGGGATTCGAACACAAACTGGTTCGTTAGGGTTTTTAGGGTTCTTCGCTCACGCTGGATGTCCTTCGCGGCTGACTGGTGGATTTGTGATCAGCGCAGCTCGATATCAGCCGCATTCTAAGATTTCTCTCCGTTACTAGTTCTAGCTAGCGAAATCCTTGTGACTGGTGGATTTGCGATCGGTCGGCAGGGAATTCTAACATTTCTCTCCATTTCTAGATCTATCTAGCGTTTTCAACAAAATCCTGGGAGCTCTGGAATTGGCATTTCCGGTAAGAAATTTGTAAGTTCTCACGCTTCCAGACGGCAGCACACTCCTTGCTCTGGTTAGACAAGCATCCTTTTTCTTCATTATTTCCAAAAAGTAGTTCGTTCCATCCGGCATGTACAGTGATTGATCAACACTTCCCGTAAGTTCTCCTCTCTCTCTTTTTTTTTTTCCTTTTTCCCTGTCGTCGACCCCTAAACTCTCTTGAATATCTTACACGATGAAGATCGCAGTGAAGAAGATCATGGCTGTCCAGCGCAAGAGAGAGTCGCGGGGTTCCATATCCATGGCACCAAGAACTTCCGCCGGTTCACGCCCTCCACATTGTAGCTCGCCTTGGAGCTGGGATCCACGGAGAGCTGCCCGGGATAGCCAGGATACGACCCCGGCCCATAGCTGCTGGAGCAAGCTCCCGCCGCCTCGAGCGCAAACGTCTGCTCGCCCTGGTAGTACGCGGTTCCAAACGGATTGGTGGCGGCTCCAGCGAGAACTTTGGCGATGGTGATGATCATCCCGTCCACCCCGACGCCGTTTGGAGCGGTGAGAACCTCCTGGGGGCCGAACTGCGGCTTGGCGTATGGCCAGGCGCAGAATCCCGGGCACTGCGTCTCGGAGTTGCCAACCCAGGCGTATGGAAGCATTGCGCCGCCGGTGGAGGAGCCGGGGAAAGTGTAGAGGTGCTCGCCGCAGGTGTTTTGGCAGAAGCCTTGGACGCTCACGTCGGCGGCGGTGAGGACGAGATAGATGCTGCGGGGGTCGGACGGGAAGGCCTTTGAGCGGATGGAGCTCGCGACCAGGGTGGCGATGTCCGACTTCTTGAGGGATTTGCCGAGCGAGTACTTGCGATCGGTGGCTTGCTTGGCCAGGACGAGGCTCTGCGCGACTCCCTGGCCTTTGGAGTCGGTGTACTTCTGCGTGAGCGACCACCATTTGGCGACGGTGGAGGAGCTCTTGGCCGCCGCCGGAGAGAAGCTCGAGAGGAAATCGGTGATGGTGGCTTTGTCGCTCTTGGAGAAGCGGCCGTAGAGGACGAGGTAGATCTTGATCGGCTCCGGGCCGGAGAGAACGGGGCCGTTGTGGTAGTCGAGGACGAGCGGCGGCGTCTCGAGGAGCTTGGATTGAGCGGCCATAGCGAAGAGGGAGAGGAATGCAAGTGCTGCGAGAAGCGTGGACGCCATTTTCGAGCTCGAGAAGAGAAATGCTAGAGGAAGAGGATGCTCGATCTATCAAATCCTCGCAGCTAGAATCGAAATGGCGAGATGCTCGATCGATCTATCGAAATGGCGAGCTTGGAAGGAAGAGAAGAAAGGCTTGGAGAGCTTGGAAAACCTTGCTGCTTGACCTCTGGAGCGCCGCGTGGTTTTTATACTTGGCCATCTCCTGGCGTTTAAGCGCCTAATAAACTCATCGGTTTAGTAGCTTAATGGGGGCTACGCTGGGTACAGTGAGGCTGTGCCTGGGTGTGTGTTGACGAGTGACGATTGGGAAATTTCCAGGGAATGACGGGTCTACCGGTCCGCGGACATCGCCCTGTGACGTGGCACGCGGACAGCTCGCCAGCCTGGCGCTCTGCTGGCGGGCCCGCGGCATGGGCCACGGAGTCAATCATTTCTGGTGGGCCACCGGGTTATCGCCACGTGTTGACGGCCACCGCCAGGGCTGCTACCGCGCGGTGCCGGCGGCGGGTGCCGCGCGGTACAGCGCGGTAGAATTTGGGGTTTTTGGGCTGTCAACGTCGTGTGAGCGAGCTGGGAGCCCATGCCCATCCCATGGTCAGATCAATCCAGCCGTGCAAGAGCAAGAGAATTCGGGCAAATCTGTTTGGCCTGCAAAGCACTCATTGGAGGCTTTCATTCAAGTCGATTCATGGCGAGCTCTGCTCGGCCTGGCTTGTTGCATTGATTGATGGATCAATCACGATGCATAGACGGAGAATGGAAAGATGGGGCCCCAGACTCTGAGTAGCCAGCCCGAAATTCCAATGCACGGCAAAGGGATAGAGGAGCAATTAGAAAATCGCAGGGCTACACACGATCTTTGGTCTGGGCGAGTGTAGCGATCGCTTTCCTGCCTGAGCGGAGGAGGATGAATGAGTATCAAAGACATTAACAGCTGATTTGATGCTTCCAGCCATGGAGCAATCGGAGGAACCATTGAACTTGGCAGTTCTTCGACGGTACAAGACATGATCTCTTGTCTATGGGTCGCTTTCCACACCCAGAGGAGGAAGACGAAATCATAACCGTTGGCTTCTCGATTTGAATCTGGACCGCTAGATGTCATATGGTTGCTGCATCCAAGGTTCGATTCCGGTTCTCGAAATTCTTGGCGTAGGGCTTTTTCGTTTGGATGGATTCCATCGAGAAGGGTCCGATCGAGGGATTCTTCGTAGAATGTGGAATGCGGGCGTCTAGGATGGTCTTGGGAGTGATCGATCGCGGAGGTGAGAGGGATGTAGATTTTGAGCTATCCTCTTGGAATCCGACCAAGGGCGATACGCTTGCGATTGTCGTCAGGGTGCCGCCTCCCAGTGATCTCTTCCAGAAGCTCAACTTGTCTCTCAGGTGAGAGAGAGAGAGAGAGAAAGAGTTTTTCCAAAGGATAATCCTTTCTACTTGTCAGGGAGATTGTTTGGGGAAATTCTTTTGTGAGCGTTACTTATGGCGGGAGTGAGATTCCAGCGTACCCGATCACCGAGGAAAAATCTATCTGGAGAGCACTGGCGCCGTCCACGCCTCTCGATGTTCCTGGACCTCGCTCGCTCGCAGTGAGCCTTGGATTTTTTTTACTTTCATATGGTTCTTTTGCTAATGGTTACAACTAATAGGTGGACGTAAGAGATGGACGACACAAGCTCTATCGTGGAAACATACAGATTGTTGACAAGGACTATCCAGTGGAATCGATCTGGCTCAGCGATACAAAGTCTAGCATTTCTGGTAAACTTTGGTAAGCTTTTCTCTCGCCTTTGATTTAGTTCATCGTCTCACGGGTTTTCAACAGGAACTAGGAAGGAGAAAGCGGCCATGGAGGTGTTGCGACTTAGCAAAACACCTGTCCAGCATTGGTCCGGTCCCTTTAAGCTTCCAGCACAGGGAGATGTCACTACTGGATTCGGCCTCCAACGTTTCTACAACGGAGTTTTCGCTGAAAAGTAAGAAGTTTTTGTCCATGGACAGAAAAATCAAGATTGTTTTTACAGCTACTATCATCAAGGAATCGACTATGGTGCCGAAGAGGGGACTCCTGTCAAGGCACCCGCGAAGGGTCGCGTGGTTCTTGTTGGTAAGGAAGCTGATGGTTTCCAGCTTCACGGGAACTGCATTGGCCTGGACCATGGTCATGGTGTAACTTCCATCTTAATGCATCTCTCATCGGTAGACGCCGTGTAAGCACGCTCTACACTTTCTTTTCTGTGCTGTGACATTCCTCACAGCTTCTTTTCCCTTGCAGTGAAGGAGAGATAGTGAAACAAGGCGATACCATTGGCGCCGTGGGAGAATCCGGCCTCGCAACAGGACCACATTTGCATTGGTATGAAGCATGAAGGAACTATTTTTTCAAATCCTCATCTCTTTTGCTGGAAACAGGGGCCTCCTTGTCAATGGGAAAGCCGTGGATCCCAACCAGTGGCTGGCAAAACAATGGTGGCTCTAATATACCATGGATTTTTGTTTTGGTTGTCAATCTTTCGCAATGAATTTTAGCTTGCAAGAGAAGTTATTATTTGTTGTATTTCTCCAGCATCACTGTGCCTCGCCCAAAACTCCAATTTTTCTGCTTGAGTCTATGCCTCGGACAAAAACACCAGGATGGAGCAACAGGACGCGCTAGAGGCCGGATTATCAACGCGCTTTAGGAGTGTATGGTCACAACTCAAAGCTCGTCAGCTGAATCCTGTGCATCAGCAACACTGTGCTGTTCGTTGATGTCATTGACAATATCAAGGCTGCAGTGGAGAGCCAGTGTCACTCTTGCTCTTGGTCCATATTTGCTCAGTGTTTTAACTTTTCCTTTCTTCCTTTTGTTTAAGCTCTTCTTTTGAGCCAACTTCTTCCTAAAGGCCTCAAGTGTTCCTTGAATTTCTATTAAGATATTCCTTGATCTTTTAGATTCCTTGACTTTAGATCTCAATTCTAATGGTTTGTGAATGGTCTGCTATATAGTTACAAGGCTTCTGGAATGCAGAGACAGCATCACCGCCACAAGCCTTTCTGCAAAAAATGGTGAGTTCGCTTACCTCTGGACTTCCTCTAAGTTCTCGTCACGTGTACAGCACCACCAGTGCCAAGCGATGATCCTGATTCACATTGAAAGAGGTGGAGCTCATGGCCATCCCAGTGCCAACATCTGGTGTCTTGCAGCTCCTCTCAAAGTTCCAAGCCAAGGGACTGTCTGCCCAAGACCTGATAACAACATCTGTCGGCCACAACATTGGCCAGGCACATGAGGGGATGTGAAAATTGCTCCGAGGCAACTAATTAAGTGCCAAGACGAAAAATTCTGAATAACTACTTTTGTGAGGTGCAAGTGTGCTATCACAATGATATAATTTGGTATTGCTAATTATTTTGTTAGTCTAAAATTAATTGAGAAATAAATCATCAAATGTGTACTTGGCTAGAAGATAAAATTTTTAAGTGCTATTAATCAAATATTATTGACTTCATTTAAATAACTCATTTATTGTTTTCACTTTCTTGTTCCGGATAAACTCAATCACTCAATATCAACTTATGATAAATTATTATATTCATTAGCACATTTCCTCTGAGTTAGTTATACTGTAGTTATATTAGTTATTTATAAAAAGTGACTGGAATTGCCAATTATGCATATTTATGGAGTATATTCTGAAGACAAAAGTGTTATTTCTATATTTATTAACATTATTTTTTATTTAATAAAATTTCCAATTTATCTTAGAAATTATTATATAATTATTAAAATTCAAAGCCAAAATAAACTTTCATATTTGGGGTGTGTTGTGATATAAAGTTTTACATATATATTAAGGATACTGAGATTAAAAATATGATTAATTATTTAAAATATTGTGTCACTGTATATTTAAATTATAAACCCTAATTTTATACTCTGATTTGATTGTTGATTCAATTAATAAAAAAACACTACCTTCTTGATTTGATTTGAAATTAAAATACCACTACATTTAAATTTTACCTTCATATTATACCAATTCTATAATACATTTGTATTAAATTTTATTTTACTTCAATTTAGACCCCAGTTAAAATGTTCTCAAAATTAAAATTTAATATTTTTATTAAGTGACCCAAGTATTTAAAAAAAGGTTTGTTCCCTTTTGTATATATGTCTAATTTATATGATGACAGCTCAAATTCCATGGCAACATGATGGAATTATTCAAAGAGTTGATGAATGAATTTTTTTCTGAAACTCCACCAACAAGATGTTTCATTAATTTATAAGGAGATGGTTATTTCAAAAGAGCAAATGTTACAAGCATTATCATTGTTTCATGTATGATAGATGATGCCAGAATAATTCCTTGACACTGTAAAATTTAAATTTTACTTTATAGTTAAATATAGTTAAAACTATGTGTGCTAAATTTCTTGTGCAAATCATAAATCAATGTAATTAAAAAAATTAAATATTTTTATTATGCTAAAGTATTTAGCTAATATAAATTTAGGTAAAATTATATAATAAAGAGTTACTAAAAGATTACTAAGGTATTCATACATTTCATTGTTTTTATTAAATTCATAAAATTATTTAGGTTTTTCTATATATATATTTTATACATGAATTTAATGTTAATATATATTCATGAACAGATGGATGTATTTTTTTTAAAAATTATTCATTTTAATTTATCCTCTTTAGTGCAAAAGTTATTTTGTTTATATATTAATAAACTGTTTATTAGGCATGCTAAATGAAAATTTAGTGTTTTTTTATGAAAATAAAATACATAAAGTAGTTCTCTATACCAGTCTATTTTTTCATTTCATTCCCATACATAATTTATCAAATCAATCAAATTAATTTTGGAGGTGTTTTAGCATTGTATTTATTATAATTTTAAAAAATAAACTATAAATTCTTTTTAGGATGATAGTAAATAGATTATCTATATAAATATAATATGGTTATTAAAATTAAATTAAATAAATTTATCAAAATAATCTATATATATTTGAACTTATATATCTTCTTTTTAATGATATATGTAGTTTTGATCAATATTTAAATATAATGTTTTTAATAAACTCTACATCACTAAATACATTTTGGAAACCTCTTGATGTTAATTGAGTAAAAATATAATGTTGCAATAAAAATTTACCATAAAACTATTTGCAAAATAAATTGTAAATATGACATGTTTTTTTTGTAAGTTTTCTTATGCTTTACATATTAGTTTTTTCTGTGACATCAGTTAAATATTGTAGCATTTTTTAATCGTATTTATAGTCTTCAATATATAAAATTATGGAATAATTTTCACTCTTTAAAATAATAATAAAATTTATTACTTCTATATTTTAATTTAATGATTGATCAATAATATACCTTATCTTATTTTTGGATTAGTCTTCATCTCAATTTAATATTTATGTGCCTCTATGTATGTGGCTACTTTATAATTCTAGATATTTTTGAAAGTGTATTCTATTTATAAACTTTATTTTTTATTTAAACTTTTTTTCATGTATGATTCACTCTAAAATATATTTCTTCTCACCATGTTTATTTAAACAAAGGTCTAAGTTAAATTTATATAAACACAGTTAATGTATAGTTTTATATCACTATAATTAAGATGATTCTTTTTAGCTACAAATAATCATATTTTGTATATTATTGTTTAATAGTAATGATAATAGTATAAATTTTATATGATAAATGAAAGACCTTATAATTATATTTTCTTTATTATTTAAATCTTTGATAGTAGAAACGAAATAATGTTATTTGGCAATATAATTATTAATATAATTTCTTCTCAGAAGTTGAACTCATTATTCTCAAGGAGTTTATTTAAGTTATTCCTGTGTTATATATTTACCTTTGGTTTTCTATATACATAAATTATTAACTCGTTTCCATCGAAATATGAAATGAGAGTCAAATCTTCACATTGTGGCTTCTATTAGTCCATTAGTGAATTTGCTAAACAATATCATAAAACAATCAAGATATAGAAACTTTAAAGGCAAAGTGGGTAAAGGTTTTTTTGCTGGATTTAAATGAGCTTCCATCGAGCAGCTATGGAAAAGATAAAATCACAAGGACTTAAACACAAGGGTGTTATTACTTTTGCTTGATTGCCCAAAGACAATTTACTATAATTTTAATCCCCCAGAAAAGAAGAGATGGCTGTTTCAGCACGGTGAGCCCCAGCAGATAGACAGGAAAGCAGGTCTATGTAAAACTTCCGTAAAACAAAGCAATAGAATATTAACATTTCTAATTAACGACAATTTTTCTTCGTGGTTGCTCCTCCTTTGTTCTTAGGCGCAGCTGTACCATCAGATGAAGAAGACTTTTGTGTTTTCTGCTTTTTCCATTTGAAGATTGCAGCCCTAAAATCATTCATCTTGGCAAGCGAGGTGAGAAAAGGGATGAGCTTGAGCAGCTCCTCATCTTCATCGTCACCATTCCCTTTGGAGAAGAAGGGCTTGATGGGCAATGCATTCTCCACATTCTGCTTGAACGTCTCGGGCTTGTCATCCACAACCACGACCCTCTTCATGTCCCGGCCTAGCAGAGCCGCTGGCTTGATCACAAAATCCACGCATGAATCGCCATACAACCGGTGTGCGATGCTTCCATACTTTCGATCAATCTCATCCACGATCTTCTCTGCACACTCTCGAGTTCCTGCTGTGAATAGCACAACTTCATACAAATCCTTGACAGCGTGGAGGAATTGATCGAGGCCGGGCCGTGAGACGCTTCCATCGATCAAAGTGTTGTCAAGATCGAGCACCAGAGTTGGGCGGCCAACCTGAGCGCCAACCTGTGGTGGCAACAAGTTCTCTTGACCCATTGTAAGCCCTAATCCTATTTTACCCTACTTTTAAACCCCGGTCATTAAATTAACAATGACGTGGCATTCTGCAGTAACGCCACGTTGCATAAGTGCTGAGGTGTGGCAACCTTTAAAAGCTCTCCTTTCGAAACTCAAACCTGGTGCTGGTTCTCTGCGAGAAGGTCCAGGCGATTCCTTCCAGCTCCTTGGCTGCCGAGGCCATGCCGCAGTAGAACACGCCGACACGGGCACCGGGATGGTTTGCGGCCAGCCTCGCGAAAACTTTGTTCCAGTTGGGCCGAGCAAAGTGCGTGCGAACCTGTTTCGCTCGACCGCGTTAGCACCAGGCAGCTAGAAATTCAGAGCGAAAAGGAGAAAAGAGTTTGGCTATACCCGAGTTCCTGAGACAATGTCCACGCCACTCTTAGCGTGATGGAGGGCCTGGACGAGCGTTATCAGGGCCGAGCGAGCGTCTCCTTCCTCGTGAACGCACGTCAGATAGTTGTGCATTTCAATCACTGCCTGTGGATGCACAAGCATAGCTCAGGAAGACTTAGACAAAAAATTGTGTTGTACCTTGTGATCCATCTCGGCCACCTCGTTCATCACCCCCTTGAACCACTGGAAGGAGCCTTGTTCCTTGGTCACCCAGTAGAAGTAAGCGTGGCTTGGACAGCGTCGCGGGGACTGCTGGTACTCCGGCTTCCCCGTCTGAGTGTTGAGCATGTCCCTGAGAATGCTGATAAACGGCGTTGCCCCGATTCCAAGTCCGACAAGGAGCATCACGTCGTATTTGCGGTAATCCTGCGCTGCAGCTCCGTAAGGTCCATCTATGTAAAGCTTTGGAAATCTGTTCATTCATTCAGTTTGATTGTGCCTTTTGGTTTTCTTTTGAGTAAATTTCACTCATTACCTTCTGAGTGCGCCTTCGTCACCACTGTCTTCTCCTTGTGCTTCGATCTCCTAATGTCTGTGGTAAGAACTCGAGCACAATCGAGAATCATTGTGCACCTTTGCGAATGTCCTCATGATCTCTTCCGTCCAGTCCCCCAAGCTGCGAACATGAACACTGAGGTGTTCATCTCCTGGTGCTGACGTGATTGAAAACGGGTGCCTACATCGCATACACGTAAACATTGTATCCGAGAAGTTTCAAGGTCTTACCATTCGAATGGCGATATTGAGGGGCATTGAATAAAGATGTACATCCCACTCTGGTATTTAAAGCCGGGAGGTTTTGTCATGTGAAGAGACAAAACATTTCCGGGAAAAATGGCAGCCTAGAAAACAAACGAGTTCATTGATCTGGTAAGTTACAAAAATTTAGTATAATTACCTGTACAATGTCAACCTTGTAAACGCATGCTCTAGATACTCTCAAAAACCGTTCTCCAATGTAAAGAACTGTTGGAACAAGAATGTACAACCACGTCTATGGAGAAAAAAACATTAGTATATAGACAAATACTGACACACATACCGTTTTCTCTGACCATTTGTGCGTGAGGAAAAGTAATGTCGAGTGAACAATCAAGAGAGCGTAGACAATGGCGAATAGATGGTGAGAATACCAGAACACGTTGAACCCGGTAAGTTTGTCAAAGGGTCGGCGGAGCTTGAGCCTGTTCTTCCTGGCGAGGTTGGTCGCAAGAAGAAACGACACCGCCATCAATATAACCATCGCGATCCCTGTCACGCCTTCGACGGACATGACCATGCCCAGCATAGAAGGCTGGCAGCCGTGAAAGTCTCTTCCCAAAGTACGCATGAAAGTCTTCGACTCTGCATTGGCAATCCGGGGGAAGTCACAGGTCAAATGAGCTCCTCCGTGAATAAGCACTCCCAAACAAATAGCTCCTGCCACTGTCTGTGTATGAAAACAGTAAACAAAGAAGCTTACAGAAAAAAAGAAATGGACTTTTTTACCTTGTGAAAGCTGATGCTGTCATCGAAGGGAATCACTGAGCCGAGCCTGGTAGAGCGGAGCCACGTTATAGTGTTTCTACAAACAGGGAAAAGGATGAGTGCCATGTTGAGCTTGAGTGTCTCGGCAGCACCTTTGGCCATGCTCACGCAATACCCCATCACTTCAAAGCCGGACCGGTAGCTGTACTGCATGGACTTCCACATAAACAGCACGGCCATGGCTCCAAACCACACGCCAACAATCCAGAGTCGACGCCAATCCTCTTGGAAAGCATTCTTGGTGCTGCAAGCAAGGAACTGTAGCCTCCCCAGCCTTTCGGCGTTACACGGGTGATGGCTCTGGTAGTGCTGCCGGAACGAATCAGCCTCAAAGGCGCGCTTGCTTAATAAGCTCTCGAGCTGTGATATCTGTGATGAAGATGATCGAGTCGAGTTTGAGTAAAGAATGTAATCGAAGACGAAAAAGAAAAACTTACGCCAACTTCGCCTTTCTTCTCACGATCCAGTTCTTCCATCAACAATGCCGCGTACTCCTCCGCCTGCTCGTCGAGAATCGAGAGTCGGTTGGCCGACGCGCTCAGAAGGATGGCCTGAGAGTGATCAACCATAAGCTTTCTTATAGTCTGGAGAAAATAAGAAACTAGCTCGAACGTACACTTTTTAGCTCCGACCCACTGATCTTTCCATCCCGGTCTCGATCGCATCTGCGAAGCACACGACCGATCGATCACAGGGCATTTCTAGAAAGAAATCCTTACAGATCGAAGAAGATTTGCATCCTCGAGGCGGTCGTCTTATCTGTGAGATCCATCCAGAGATCCCAGAGCTCATCCTTGCCAATGTCGTGACGATCCTCGACGGCGCTGGTGGTGACGCCCCGGGAGTGCGCTCTCCGGCGCCGCAAAACGCCCAGGAGCTCCGCGGCAAACTCCTCGCTCTCCGGCATCCCTGCATTGCGATCAAAGAAACCTAATACTCCACAAGAACCAAGAAAATCGTCCTCTAAATACCAATGCACGCGCCAAATCGGCCAGGCGGGAGCTTTCCATCGCTGCTCGAGAGCTTCTCGAATCGCTCCATCACTCTGTGCCACACCGCCTCGTCCCCAGCGCTCGCCGTGCGCTTATCGATAAAGCGGAGGCCCTCCAGCGCGCTATTCACATTGTTCCTGGCAGCACTGGCATCCTCGTCCTCCACCACCGGCATTACGCGAGCATTGCTCCTAGCCATGGCGCTGCCGGAGCTCTCGCTATCGATCACAAGCTCGACAAATCCCGGCTGATCCACCAGCGGCTGTTCGTGCGATCCCTCGAAAGATTTTGCCGCCACTTCCTGCTCGTCCGCGCGAGGAATTTCCCCAGGAACACTGCCGCTGCCGCTCGAAATCTCATCCTTCCCGGCCGGCATTTGCGAATCGCGAGCGCCGGATTGAGAATTCCGCACCCCCTGCGTGAAGATCGATCCTTGTAGAAAGCCTGGAATGGGGATTTCTTGCGCGCTTTCATGCATTGCACTGCAAGGCAGGCGGCAGAGAACTGCGCGCCACCAAACACCAAGATTCCAGAGCGCCGATCGATCGAAGGCGAGAAGAAAAGGAGTGCCTTTTGATCCAATCTAACAGCGCGCTGGAAGGAACTGACGATCGATCGCGACGGCATACGAACATTTGGGCCTGGCAGAAGAGGAGTACACACACAAAGGAGAGGAGGGAAGCGTTTCTATTTACATTTAAAACCGGTGGGTGGAAATAGGTAGTGATCGATCTTCAAAGCAATGAAATATCGATCGATCCATCGCTCCATCGCCTGCCCCGTGTTGGTAGTTCTCTCCCTTTATATCCTTTCTTTCTTCTCATCTTCTTCGCTCTTCTTTAATGTCGGAGAGTTTAAGTTCTTCCTGGAAGGAAGAATTAGCAGCCATTGGACAGACTTTGGTGCCATTGGAGCCTAGGGTTCTTGGGCGATGCCCACTGATGCCCAGGTATTCGCTGATCTCCTCAAATTGTGTGCCCAATCGAAGGATCTCAGCACTGGCAAGCAAATTCACCAGAGGATCATTCACAGCCGCCTTGATCGCAATCGCTACCTTTGCAATCTTCTCATCGATATGTATGGGAAATGCGGAAGCATCCAAGGCGCGAGATTGGTGTTCCAAGCAATTGACAAGCCCAATCCTTTTACCTGGAACATTGTCATAGCTGCAAATGCCGCGAATGGGCATTTGGAAGAGGCCCGTAGCCTCTTCGATCGAATGCCCAAAAGAAACTCCGTGTCGTGGAACACGATTATCTCCGCTTACGCCCAGCACGGCAGATTAGACGATGCCTGCCATCTCTTCGCCCAGATCCCCGATGAGCAGCGCGACGAGATATCCTGGAACGCAATCGTCCAGGCTTGTGCTCTAAACGGGCGCTTGGATCGAGCGCAGGAGCTATTTTATACGGTGAGGTCTCGTTCGGAGTGAAGCTCTTGTGCTATGCCGGAGCTGCTACACCAAACGTGTAGTGATGCTCCCCTACTGCTTGGAACCTTTAAAATCTACAAGGCAAAAACCCTATTTTGAGGCATAGGGCTATGGAAGGAAAGATTCCGGTGGTGGGGTGGATGCCATGCGTTGGCGATCGCGTGGCCGAATGGTTCCGCAGCGGCATAGGCTCCAGACTGCTGATGGTTGTGAGGGCAACGTTCTCTCACTTTGGGCTGGAGCTGGATCATCCCCCGGGTGCGTGGTTCTTTGAAGTCCTGCCCGACTCCACCGTCTCTTCCACTGTGTCGGAGCTCAAGTGGAAGATCTGGACTGTGGCCGTCGCACGCGTCCTTGGCGCTACCGTGCCGGATGGCTACTTGCACCTCTTCATCGCGGCCGACTACTTCACGCGCCATAGCCCACATCAAGAGCAATCTAGAAATCCTCATCCCCGCCCCGAGTGCTGCACAGGCCGCTGCACGTACGCCCTGACCGACCTCCACCTTGTGAGTGCTTGTTTGGATCGTGTAGCAAAGTTTATGGTTTTTCCTTTTTTGCAGCTCGAGGAGGCCACTGATCGGACGCCATCGTCTTTCCCATTGGTCATCACAGATGAATATGTGTCAGGTAGCTCTTCTTTGGATTCCTCTCAAACTGATTGGTTCCTTTTCCACAGCCATCGTGTCGATATTGTTTCCTTGCACTCTCTCGCCCACTTGCGTTGCTGATGCCGCTCTCCTGTTCGATGCGAGCGGCAAGGTTTGTGTCGTCGTCTTCACCTGGCTGTTGCTCCAGCTCCAGAGCAACAAGCAGCCGCTGGAATGGCTCGACGCATTCGAAGCACAGGCTATAGCAGGCGACCGTGGCGGTGGCGGAGCCGGACCCCTGGAAAATCTCTTGCTGCTGTTCCTGAGCAAACAAGCACCGCTGAAGGATGAAAAGTTCTCCCCGGCATCCTTGGACGAGCTCAAACGGATACGTTCCTGCATCGAGAACGCGCCCAGGATAGAGTGGAAGTCCATGGACATCACCGTCGCTCTGCGCCAGATGTTGGAGGTATGATGATTGACACCGTTTTGATTTGAGAGAGCATTCGAGCTTCTGTGTGGCAGGAGGTGATGGCAGCGGGAGAAATCCAATGGGACAACCAGATGCGTGCCCGGCTCGAGCAGTGGATCCAAGGCCACTACAACTTCCACCGCGTGGAGCCGCTCTTCCAGGAGTACGCAGACGTGAGCGTGCCGATAGCGCGCCTGATCTCTACATGGATGCACACGAGGAAGGGATGCCGCGACCACGCCGAGCTCAAATCCCTGTGCTCGGCAGCGACATCATCGGAGTCGATTGTGGAGCACATCCAGGCTACGATGAGCCGGGGAAGCAGCGACGAGTGCCGCCAGCTCTGTGACGCGGCTGCCACCGTCTTTGGCAATGACTACGGTAGCCTTTTCGTGGAGATTTGCGCCAACGTGCAGTGGGATCCATGCCTGACCGCGTGCTCTCTAGAAGAATTCGGGGCGATCAAGCAGGCAGCCTGGGACGGACTCTTCCGGACTGCGAGCTCCGAAAACACGCTTCGAAGGCACCGTTTCGACGATGGCAGCCGCAACGAGGGCATATGGAGACCTCGGATTTCCGACATGATCCTCTACATAGTTTACGTAAGCATGAAAATGATTCCATCCATCGCTTACGAGTTTGCTGCTGCAGCTGATCCTCGAGGACTGCTTGGGCGCCAGCGTTGATCGTGAGAGGTGGAAACGAGAGTGTGAGTCTATACAGTGCCTTTCTCTTTGCTCAATCGTGATCCTTTTTGCTTGGATCGTCACAGGCAAGTCACTGCTGTATACCAGACGTGGGGGGCAGCGCGTGTCCCGCAGTGGAAAAGGGGTTTTTGTTGCGATTAGCAACTCCACCAGAGGAATCTGTGAGGCGTTTGCGGCGTGGATCCAGTCTCCAAGCACGCAGAGGGACTTGGGAGCGAGCTCGGATGAGATACGTGATGCCATAAGAGAGGCAGTCGTCTCGGCTGGTGGAGTGGAGTATGACGAGGAGAGGCAGCAACTCTGGGCCAGGATGCAAGAGCTGCTGGGTGTCACTGGCAACATTTGGATTTGCATGCTTGCTCGTGCCTATGTGCAGCACGAACACCACTTTGGTGCTTTAAAAAATGCTGCAAATTATTCCGGTGAAGATCTGCCCACAATTGTCCGCAAGCGTTCAGGCCCAGAAAGTACACCAGGGATCGAAGTTTTCCTCGGCCTCGGCAGCGCTTCCAGGATTTGAGTTTTGCTTTTGCTAGAGAAGTTTTCTTGCAATTGAGATTTCTTTCAAAGCCAGGCTAATCTGCTATTTGCTGAAGGAAGCAAAAGGAAGCACACCTTTTCTAGTAGGAGAGTCTGCTGCTAGAATTGATTCGCCCCATCCCCAAGAAGTACTGCCACGTCAGCACGCTTGAAGGCTTCACTTGCTATTAATAGGAAGTGAAGCCCTATAGAATTATATAGATAGGACTAATTTTAAATAATAATGGTCAAAACTAATTTTGTTAAAATCTTTCTAAACAATAGTAATATTATTTCTATTTTACTTACTTTGGAATGTTAAAACCATTTCTTTTTTGCTTTTTTAACAAAAGCAAAATAAAACATACCTTAACAACCAAGTATTCAAATGTTTTATCAATTTGTTAAAGGTCAAACACCACATTATCAAATATACATGCTCCTGGTTATCATCATCATCCTTTTTTAAAAATGTTTACTATTAAAATAGTTTAAGGAAAGGTGTGCTCGTTATGGCAGTTGTATGTTAGAATTAAATAAATTGTGAAGTTCACATTTCTGATGTTGTGGTTGAAGGGGATGTTATTTCCTCTGATTACTTGTCACAACATTTCCCAGAATTTATATTTATATTAGTGGTTTTATATACAAACACTAAGGGTAGTTAAGTTTTTCTCTTTAGGTTTTTTAAGTTATGGAAGAGAATGTTGAGAACCGGGAAATTTGGAAGTTTCAAAAGAATAGCAGATGTTAATACTTCTGCCCCACATCACATGGAGAGGCAAAGGGCATAACATTTATTTATGACAGATGACAGATGACACGTGCAAGTTCATCGGTATCGACAAAATATCTACCAGACATGGCAACACTTCCAAGGTCCCAAAGAATGTCATCATGGTGACATCCAAATGCATGGCACAATCTCGGATTTTCATCCTGTTAAACCACAGTTCCACATAAACATAAGAACATTCCCAGCGCTTTCAGACCTATAGTACAGGATAAATACTTCTCCATGTGCCCTCCGCCCCCGCCGGGCGGCCTCATCGTGCTCGCTCGGGCACGTGCGCGGGACTGCACACGGAGGTCTCCACTATAACGATGAAGACAAGTAAGGTGATAGCACGAACTTTGTTAGCAAAGCCAGGCATGTGGTTATAATGTGTAAGCGACTAAATTTTCCATTCTACTTTAGTCACTTAACCACACCTCCGACCACTTGGAGGAGTCTCATTCACAACCTCCATAAGTCCAATCTAGGACTTGGGACTTGCTAGCCCCAAGAATGGCATCCATGCCACTCAACATTTGCACTTGGTCCAAGTGCTCCACGTGTCCGATCCCATGACCGACACTCAAAGGTACCACCGACATAGCAGCCCGTTGTAAGCAACTAAAGGGAACGACTTGAGAAACGGTCCATGGGGTTCAAATATAGAGGGAAAGGGCCCATGAATAAGAGTGCACCCCCTTTTCCAATCGGTTAAGGGTCTTGGGATAGTTGGAGTTAAGCGTCCTTGGGTTTGAATAGTACTGGGCTGGGTGACCTCCCGGGAAGTCCAAACTCAGGAGCTTACATTTGGTATCAGAGCGGTCTCGGGTCCGACTCTGTTGGTTGGCTAAGGGAATCACACCACGTGTTGATTGACATCTGGCTGGTCCAATTTGCTCCCGCTGGGCTCGACCCGAGGGGTAGGGTGTCAAGAGAGCGGGGCTCTCGGGAGAGCTGCGGCTCTCAGCTTCCGTTCACGAGGGCGTGAACTTGCAGGGAAGCGTGGTGGATTGTAAGCAACCAAAGGGAACGACTTGAGAGACAGTCCATGGGGTTCAAATATAGAGGGAAAGGGCCCATGAATAAGAGTGCACCCCCTTTTCCAATCGGTTAAGGGTCTTGGGATAGTTGGAGTTAAGCGTCCTTGGGTTTGAATAGTACTGGGCTGGGTGACCTCCCGGGAAGTCCAAACTCAGGAGCTTACACCCGTTACGCTAAGGCCACGCCCAATCACCTTTGCCACACTGGTAGTCCAATACCACTTGCATCGCAGTCTTGGCTCTCCAAGACTAGGCAAACCATCCGTGAGTGGTCATCTCAGATCCACTCCTTAGCATCCTTAGGATGCCTACAGACATGGGGAATAGCCTTCCCCAATATCTCTGTTTCGGTCCCCACCAAGTCCCTTTCTGTCCTTGGCTGTGTTCGCCAATACTGCCACTGGATCAAGGCCCACCGGCCCGACCACTAAGTCCCACTATCCTCTAGGACTTCCTCACTGTGTGACTGTGTCCTTGGTCACTACATTAGAGGCCTACTCCTCTTCCCTTTCACCGTTTGGGACTTTGGGACACCATTTCGGAACACCGTGGCCTTACGCAAGCCTCATGGGTACTCTCCCCGCTTTTCGCCTTTAAGTGCTCTAGCCATGGGCTTAGAGCGAGGTTCCGTTGAGCCACAACAGGTATCCAAGTAGGTAGTGCCACCCACACTTGGACTGGGAGCATCGGCCAGTCGATCTCCCGGGGGAACTAGAGCCGGTTCTTGAACACTTCACCAAGCTACCCCGCTTGTCGGCTTGTGTTCACTCTAGTCTTGGACTTCCCAGTGGGCAGCTCATCACCCAACACTGGGTCCGGCCTTCCTGGGCCAAACTGGCCTTTCCTGGCCAAACTGGCTCCACTGTAGTCCTCCCCCTACTATACTTTTGGAGCTCACCAAACCCCCCAGGGTCTGGGAGACGAACGCTTTGGGCTTTCACCCTCTCAGGCTCGAACTCGGACTCGGCCTCGGACTCGGACTCGGACTCGGACTCGGACTCGGATTCGGACTCGGACTCGGATTCGGACTCGGACTCGGACTCGGCCTTGGCCTCGGTCTCGGTCTCGGTCCCGATCTCGGTCTCGGTCTCGGTCCCGGTCTCGGTCTTGGTCCCGGTCTCGACTTCGGACTCCATCTCGGGTCCATCTCAGACTCCATCTCGGGTCCACCTCGGGTCCATCTCGGACTCCATCTCGGGTCCACCTCGGGTCCATCTCGGACTCCATCTCGGGCTCCACCTCGGGTCCATCTCGGACTCCATCTCGGGCTCCACCTCGGACTCCATCTCGGACTCCATCTCGGGTCCATCTCGGGTCCATCTCGGGTCCATCTCAAACTTCATCTCGGACTCCATCTCGGGTCCATCTCGGACTCCATCTCGGACTCCATATCGGACTCCACTTTGGGTCCATCTCGGACTCCATATCGGACTCCACTTCGGGTCCATCTCGGACTCCACTTCGGGTACATCTCGGACTCCAACTCGGGTCCGCCTCGGACTCCATCTCGGACACTTCCATGTGTCATGTGTTGGTCCTTTTTATGTCCCTTTTTGAAGCCTCGCTTATTGCTCTCTTTGTGCTTGTTCCTCGAGCACTTCGTTGGGAGTTCCACTCCCGCTCTCAACCTTTCAAGGCGGAGCTTTTAGTCCAAACGTGTTACGCTCGTTTGGCTTTCGCTTCGGCCACTACTATGTGGCGCCCTTCCGGCTCCACTTTGGGGCCTAGGGATTTTGTGTCTCACATAATGATGGTTGGTCTGGTTGATTTGTTTTCACTTTCCTTTTGAAACTGCAGGAATAGACATGGAAGCTGAAACCACCCCCAAAGCCTGAAGTAGCAAAAAGAGAGCCAAAACCAGGGATTGATCTTGGTAGTGACAAAGAGATTGCAGAAGAGCAAGTTCACACGTCCAAGAAAATGGTGACTGGCAATCTTTTTATAGATTTTTCTGCTAATGGGATATTATGCAGATTGTTGTAAGGGACAAAGATTGGTGGTGCAGTAGCATTTAGTGACCGAGATGCCATGGTTATTACTTCAAATTACATGTCCAAAATTTGCAGTTTTTGCTTTGCTTTCGTGAGACAGCCAGGATTGTGAACTTGGTGTTGCTGAATAACACATGGTGATAAATTTATTCATTTATATGTGGTGTATGTGTTTCTTTTGAATGTAGATGACATTAAGCACAAGCTTTATCACTTTTATGGTTTTGAGCTATTCCACCATGAATTAGAAGAACACTTGCCAAGTACAGGATGTCCTAGCTCTAAAAGCTTTTTGCATGGCTCTTTCGAGTTAGTCCCATGCTTAAACATGTGCATTTATCTATCTATTACTTTCTTCTCTTGTTTTGGTAGAAAGCTTAGTTTTTTTGTGTGGTTTCTTTCTTGCCAGGATTAGAAGGATAAAACATTGTAGCTCAAAATCTGAGAATGCTGGTTTTAATGCCATTGCATTAACAAGAACCAATTATATATAGTTTTAAAGAACTAAACTTAGCACTTGTATGTTTTTATTTTTATTTAATGTGTATTATGTCAAAATTTACTTGCTTATCTCTTTATATTATGACCAATCTGGATTTATATTTTCAGAATTATATAATTTAAATATATATGGGAAAAAAGAGAATTTATATCAGGGTTCTTTTGTAAAAGATGCACATCAAATCTAAGAGAAAATTCTATATTTGCTGAACATATTTGAAGAGCTGAATTACTCATATGGGACAAGATAAGCATGATAACCATTCATGCTTTGTGTGACCTCAAGAATTGTGGCACGGATTTTAGTGGTATCACATTTGGTGATAGGGGGAGACTTTAGGCAAACCTTACCTGTTCTTAAAAGAACTTGCCACACACAAATCATTTGAAATAGTGTTAAATCCTCACCAAGATGGTCTAAAATTCTAAAGTTCTCATTGCCTATAAACATGCAAGTGAACCCAGAAGAAAAGGAATGGTCAAGATGGCTTGTGACCCAAGGAAATGGCAATCTCCCTAACCTCCTAAGATTTAATCAGGACATTTAGAGCACCATTAACATCCACTACTGGAGAACAATTGATAGAGACAAGCAACTTAAGCCTACTTTGAAAGGCTATTCTCACAACTTAAATGACCTCTCTTTACAAGTAAATGACTAAATCCTTTCAAGAATGAGAAACAATAACAAACAAGAGCATTGATACTTTAGAAAGAGAATCAAATGAGAAGATGCTTGATTATCCTCTTAAACTTGGTAACACCGTCTGGAATGCCTTCACATAAGCTAAACATAAAAATCAGCTGTATCATAATGCTCTTACATAATATTAACACAAATAAACTATCATAACCAAAGCTTTATTGAAGTTAAAATTTTACATAATGATATGTAAGTAAGAAAAAAATTCTACCAATAATCTCTTTGAAACCAAAAAAATGGAGATATGCCAATCATTGTTAAATGGTAGTAGTTCTCTATAAGACATTCATTTTCTATTACAATTTGCAAATCCTAAAGACAAACACTGTAAAATATAAAGATATTATTGCCAAGACAAGTTTTCAACCATGGTCAACTTTATAACGCACTCTTTTAAGGGGAACATCAAAGACACAAATGTCTGTAGAACAATATGAGGGACAAGGTTTTCTTCAAAATAAAATAGTGTACACAAAAAACATAGTCTATAAAGAAATTATTTAAAATGATAATATAAAAAAACATAATTAGCTAGTCTTTCTTATACTTAGAGTGTCTCGGCAGAATCTTTGGCCATGCTCACGCAATACCCCATCACTTCAAAGCCGGACCGGTAGCTGTACTGCATGGACTTCCACATAAACAGCGCGGCCATGGCTCCAAACCACACGCCAACAATCCAGAGTCGACGCCAATCCTCTTGGAAAGCATTCTTGGTGCTGCAAGCAAGGAACTGTAGCCTCCCCAGCCTTTCCACGTTACACGGGTGATGGCTCTGGTAGTGCTGCCGGAACGAATCAGCCTCAAAGGTGCGCTTGCCTAACAAGCTCTCGAGCTGTGATATCTGTGATGAAGATGGTCAAGTGGAGTTTGAGTAAAGAATGTAATCGAAGACGAGAAAGAAAAACTTACGCCAACTTCGCCTTTCTTCTCACGATCCAGTTCTTCCATCAACAATGCCGCGTACTCCTCCGCCTGCTCGCCGAGAATCGAGAGTTGGTTGGCCGACGCGCTCAGAAGGATGGCCTGAGAGTGATCAACCATAAGCTTTCTTATAGTCTGGAGAAAATAAGAAACTAGCTCGAACATTGCGATCAAAGAAACCTAATACTCCACAAGAACCAAGAAAATCGTCCTCTAAATACCAATGCACGCGCCAAATCGGCCAGGCGGGAGCTTTCCATCGCTGCTCGAGAGCTTCTCGAATCGCTCCATCACTCTGTGCCACACCGCCTCGTCCCCAGCGCTCGCCGTGCGCTTGTCGATGAAGCGGAGGCCCTCCAGCGCGCTATTCACATTGTTCCTGGCATACTTGCATTCGAACGGGTACGATTAATAAAAAACGCCGTTTAAAACGCGCGTATAATACGGCGTTTAAAACGGCGTTTAAACACCAAGAATATTTTTAAAAACCCTAAAGAATATGCTTTCTTTTACTTAGGATTAGGGTTCATGTAAAATCAGGGTTCGAAAAAAACTGTAAAATTAGGGTTCGAAAAAAACTGAAAACCATTATACCCGTTCGAAAAAAAGCTAAACGGGTATTAAACGTTCGATACCCGTTCGAATCCGGTTGCGTTCGAATGTTCGGATGCAAGTATGGTTCCTGGCAGCACTGGCATCCTCGTCCTCCACCACCGGCATTACGCGAGCATTGCTCCTAGCCATGGCGCTGCCGGAGCTCTCGCTATCGATCACAAGCTCGACAAATCCCGGCTGATCCACCAGTTGCTGTTCGTGCGATCCCTCGAAATATTTTGCCGCCTCTTCCTGCTCGTCCGCGCGAGGAATTTCCCCAGGAACACTGCCGCTGCCGCTCGAAATCTCATCCTTCCCGGCCGGCATTTGCGAATCGCGAGCGCCGGATCGAGAATTCCGCAACCCCTGCGTGAAGATCGAGCCTTGCAGAAAGCCTGGAATGGGGATTTCTTGCGCGCTTTCATGCATTGCACTGCAAGGCAGGCGGCAGAGAACTGCGCGCCACCAAACACCAAGATTCCAGAGCGCCGATCGATCGAAGGCGAGAAGAAAAGGAGTGCCTTTTGATCCAATCTAACAGCGCGCTGGAAGGAACTGACGATCGATCGCGACGGCATACGAACATTTGGGCTTGGCAGAAGAGGAGTACACACACAAAGGAGAGGAGGGAAGCGTTTCTATTTGCATTTAAAACCGGTGGGTGGTAGTGATCGATCTTCAAAGCAATGAAATATCGATCGATCCATCGCTCCATCGCCTGCCCCGTGTTGGTAGTTCTCTCCCTTTATATCCTTTCTTTCTTCTCATCTTCTTCGCTCTTCTTTAATGTGGGAGAGTTTAAGTTCTTCCTGGAAGGAAGAATTAGCAGCCATTGGACAGACTTTGGTGCCATTGGAGCTTAGGGTTCTTGGGCGATGCCCACTGATGCCCAGATATTCGCTGATCTCCTCAAATTGTGTGCTCAATCGAAGGATCTCAGCACTGGCAAGCAAATTCACCAGAGGATCATTCACAGCCGCCTCGATCGCAATCGCTACCTTTGCAATCTTCTCATCGATATGTATGGGAAATGCGGAAGCATCCAAGGCGCGAGATTGGTTTTCCAAGAAATCGATAGGCCCAATCCTTTTACCTGGAACATTGTCATATCTGCAAATGCCGCGAATGGGCATTTGGAAGAGGCCCGTAGCCTCTTCGATCGAATGCCCAAAAGAAACTCCGTGTCGTGGAACACGATTATCTCCGCTTACGCCCAGCACGGCAGATTAGACGATGCCTGCCATCTCTTCGCCCAGATCCCCGATCAGCAGCGCGACGAGATATCCTGGAACGCAATTGTCCAGGCTTGTGCTCTAAACGGGCGCTTGGATCGAGCGCAGGAGCTATTCGATCGAATGCCGCAGCACAGCGTGATCTCCTCCACCGCGCTTGTCGCGGCGTACGCGAGGAGCGGAGAACTCTCCCGGGCGAGAGCGATCTTCGATCAAATGCCGGATCGCGATGCTGTCTCCTGGATCGCGATGGCGAGCGCTTACGCCCAGATCGGCAATCTCATCGAGGTCAAGAGCCTGTTCGATCGATCACAGACTCTCCATCGATCCTCACAGAATGCGCTCGTCCTGGAATCCTGGAATGCCCTTCTCGTGGCATATGCCCGGAATGGGCATCTGGCATATGCCAAGCAAGTGTTCGATGAGATTCCCTACAGGGACATCGTGACGTGGAACTCGATGCTCCAAGCGTTCGCGGAGGCCGGCCATGTGGAAAGCGCGCGGGAGATATTCCTCTCCATGCCCGAGAGAGACGTGGTTTCTTCCACCGCGGCGATGGTGGCGGTAGGGCAAGAGAGTGCGCGGGAGATCTTCGCTGAGATGCCCCAGAAGAATCTCATCAGCTGGAACACGATCGTGACGATCCACTCGCGGAATGGCGATGTGATCGGCGCCAGGAGCCTGTTCGATCGCATGCCCGAGCACGATCTCGTGTCGTGGAACACTATGATCGCGGCGTATTGCCAGTCGGGGCGAATGGAGGACGCGCGATCGCTGCTAGAATCGATGCCCGTCTGGGATCCAGTGTCGTGGATCTTGATGATCTCCGGCTATGGCGAATTTGGCGATGTGATCCAGGCCAAGCACGCGTTTGGTTTGATCCCAGACCGGGACAGCGTCGCTTGGAGCGCGATTATCTCTGCGTATGCTCGAAATGGGCATTCCAGAGAGGCGCTGGCGCTGTTTTGCCGGATGGATCTGGAGGGCATCCCGCCCGAGCAATCCAGCCTCGCCAGCGCCATCGATGCTTGCGCGGCCCTCTCATCGCTCGCGCTGGGCAAGATCATTCACTCCATGGCGATCGATGCCGGATTTGCCTGGGATGTGATCGTGGCGAGCGCGCTTGTGGATCTCTATGGCAAATGCGGGCGGTGGGAGACGGCCATGGCGATCTTCGAGAAGATGCCGCGGAAGAACACGGTTTCCTGGAGTGCTGTTCTCGCCGCCAGAGCCAGGAGCGGGGCTGGCGGCACCGCGGCGGCGGTGGAGATCTTTGGGCGAATGGCGCTGGAGGGATTCGGCGCCGATCCAATCGCGTTCATGACCGCGCTCTACGCGTGTAGCCATGGCGGATTGCTGGACAAGGGATTGAGCCTCTTCGCATCGCTGAGCAGCGATTTTGGGATGGATCCGTGGGGGGCGCACTACGTGTGTGTGATCGATCTCCTCGCCCGGTCGGGGCAGCTTGGGAGATCCGAGGAGCTTATCGCGAGCATGCCATTCGAACCTGGGATTGTGGCGTGGTCGTCGCTGCTCGGGGCGAGCAATCTCCAGGCGGATGTATGGAGAGGGCGTCGCGCTGCCGAGGAAGTCTCGAAGCGCTCCTCTCAAGAACCCTAAAAACAGAGTGATGAACTATCACAGTCGATTGAGATGAAATTCTATGCTCGCAACTCGATCGGGCATTTCCGAGGCGGCGATCTATGCGCAGCTCATCCGCAGCTGTGGATCCGAGAGGAATCTCGACCGCGCGAGGCAGATCCATGCCCGGATCATCGCCGCCGATTACCCGCTGGATCGCTACCTGAACAATCTGCTCGTGGAGATGTATGGCAAATGCGGTGGCGTGGAGGACGCGCGCCGCGTCTTCGATGCCATTCGCGATCCCAACCAGTTCTCCTGGAATCTCATGCTCTCCGCGTGGATCCATGCCCGCAGCGGCGGCGGCCTCCACCGCGCGCGATCGTTCTTCGATGAAATGCCGCAGCGTGACACCGTATCGTGGAACGAGATGATCACGGCATATTCCCAAGCCGGGCACCTACACGAAGTCAGGGCTCTCTTTCGCGATATGCCCAATCCTGACCTAATCTCGTGGAATACGCTCCTTTCAGCAAATGCCCAAAAGGGGTTTCTGGAAGACTCTAAGCAACTCTTTAGAGATATGCCTTGCCATGACATGGTATCATGGAACTGTCTAATCTCCTGCTTTGCACAAGATGGAGATTTGGACAAAGCTCGAGCTTTGTTTCACAAGATGCCCCAATGGGACATAATTACGTGGAATACACTTATTTCGATTTATGCCCAAGCCGGGCATCACAGGGAGTGCAAAGACTTGTTTGAGACGATGCCACGCCGGAACGTGGTGACGTGGACGGCCGTCCTTGCCGTACATGTCCAAAACGGCCAGGTCGTCGAGGCCCGACGGACGTACGACCGGATGCCCGAGTGGGACGTTGTGTCGTGCTCGGCTATGGTGACGGCATATGCCCAAGCCGGGCATTTGGAAGAGGCCAGCGAGATCTTTAGAGGAATGAAGCAGCGCAACACGGTGGCGTGGACGTCGCTCCTGGCGGCATACGCGCAGGCCGGGAACTTCCAGCGCGCGAAAGCATTGTTTGCGGAGATGCCGGAGAAGACAGTTTCGGCCTGGAACTCGATGATCACGGGCTACGGCCTCCACGGGCACTTGAGCGAGGCGCGCCGGCTCTTCCTCGAGGCCCCCGCGAGGGACACGGTCACCTGGAACGCGATGATCCAGGCGTGCATTGATAATCTTCGCTTCCAGGACGCCAAGGGCCTGTTCGATCAGATGCCCCACCACGACGTCCTCTCCTGGAACTCGATGATGGTGGGATTCTCGCAGCTCGGGGAGCTCCGCGAGGCGGAGCGTCTCTTCCGATCCATCCCGGAGAGGAATGTGGTTTCTTGGAACACGATGATCGCCACTTACGCGCAGCATGGATTCGTCCGCGAGGCCGCGGAGCTCTTCGATCGCATCCCCCGCCGCGACATCGTCACCTGGAACGCGATCATCTCCGGGTTTGGTCAAAACGGGCTCGCGGAGGAAGCCAAGGCGGCGTTCGAGCAAATGCCCGAGAGGAACATGGTCTCCTGGACGGCCGCGATCGCGGCGCTGTCCCAGAACGGACGGCTGGATGAGGCCCGGGACCTGTTTGAAAGAATGCCGCGCCGCGACGTGGTGGCGTGGAGCGCTATAATCGCCGCGAACGCCCAGAACGGCCGTGGGTGGCAGGCGATACACCTCTTCCGCCTCATGGACCTCGACGGCGTTCGCCCGGACATCAGTACATACGCCAGCGTTCTCGACGCGTGCGCGGGCGTTGGATCGCTGGGCCTGGGCCGCCTCGCGCACGCCGACGCCGTCCACGCGGGCGTCCACGTCGACGTCGTTGTGGCGGGCGCGCTGGTCAACATGTACGGCAAGTGCGGCCAGCTCGGCGCCGCGCGGCGGCTCTTCGACGCGCAGCAGGTACGGAACGCGGTGACATGGACCGCCATGGTGGCGGCATATGCCCAGAACGGCCATGGCGCCCAGGCACTTGAGCTCTTCCACGTCATGAACGCCGAGGGCGTGGGCGCCTGCTCGGTTGTCTTCGTCAGCATCCTCTCCGCGTGTAGCCACCTGGGACTGGTCCGCCAGGCACGGGACTACGTCCACTCCATCACCCGCGACCACGGGATGGCGGTGACGTGGGACCACTACCACTGTATGATCGACGTCTTTGGACGGGCAGGATGGCTCCTCGAGGCCGAGGAGCTCATCACGAGCATGCCCTTCTTGCCCGGGGACGTTGCATGGACGACGCTGCTATCGGCGTGTAAGCTCCACGGTGACAAGCACCGAGGTAACCGAGCCGCGGACGTGGTGATCGAGCAAGAGGACTCGGACCAAGTCGGCTCGGCTTTCATGCTCTTGAGAAACGTTGTAACGGATCCTCAAATTGTCTTTCAAAGTTAATCCAAGCCAAAATTAATTTTACATCCAGGTCTTGCCAGCTGAGAGAAGTTTCGTCTGTGCCTATACACCACCATCCTTTGATTTTGGAGAGAGAGGAGAGAACCCACGCTAAGATCTGAGAGAGTAGAGGCTTACGTTGTTTTGTCCCTGTTCTTCCGCTTTCTCATGTCTGCATTGCCTCTGCGTGATAGTTCTCTAGATCAGCATCCAGCTCTTGGGCCGACTTCACTACGGGCTTTCCTCCTCCCTTGCCTTTACCGCCGGCGGCGCCGCCCAGCTGGCTACCTTTAGTACCCCCGGCGATGGCAGGCTTCCGCCGGATTCGCTTCCCAATCCGGCCTCGTCCGGGAGTTCGTAAGCCGCCGCCGCCGCCGCCGCCGCCGTTCGTGTTGCTCACAGCGTTGACACTGCTCCGAGTTTTTAGAACTTGCACAATCTATCGGTGAGGACGTACCTGGGAGTAAAGGCGGTGGCAATGTTAGTGCCCAAGCACTCGATCTTCATGGGCTTTCCATCGAGTTGGACATTGTTATAGTGTTTCATCGCCTTGAGTGCATCGTACTTCCTGGCGAAGACCACGTCCGCTGTACACTGCAATTCAAAAACAAAAAAGCAGTCAGAAATTTTTAAAACAATCCTGGAGGGAAATACCTTTGATCTTCCACTTCTGTCGAAGTGGACTGCGCACCGCTTCAAGTCTCCCTGCTCGGAGAAGAGCTCCTGCCAAGAGAAGAGAACATGAGAAAAAGATAAAAGCATCACGAGACAAAAACACGAACCTTGATATCGTCAGTGGAGACGCCGTGGTCGAGGTTAGAGATAAAAAGCTTGGTGCCAGTCTCAATACCGACGGGCTTAGTCCGGGCACCACCACCCACGAACCCATCTTCAAACATGTCATGCTGCCAAGCACCGGCACCGGCACCGGCACCGGCACCGGCACCAGCACCCTCTGGAGCACTCCGCCGAGAACGCTGAGAAAAAGAAGAAGATGAGACCACCGCGCCATTCTAGAGCCGGTTCCTAGAGCTTGCCTTTCCAATGGAATACGGTGTCGTCCGGGGCCCGAGGCGGTTAGGGGCGTTACGGATAGGGCCCGAGGCCCGAGAACCGCCGGCACCACCGCCGCCCCCCCGCCGCCTCTTGCCGGCGCCTCTAGCCCCGGCCTTGTTGCTCTTGATAATATCATCCAAGGACTGATCTATGTTCGACATGGCCGAGGAGCTGGACGGATCGACCGAGATCGTTGCCACTGTGAAAAAGAAGACCCAAATAGAGGCTTAAGTACCAAAGATGAGTGGATCCAAGCTTGGCGAGGAAGAGGACGATGACACAAATCAGCGCAGCCAGGCAGCCTCGAAAGAAGGAGATTACGACCCAGTAACAGACAGAGAACTCTTTTTTTCTGATGCGTGGTATGTGTGTGTGTGGAGGCGGCAGAAGATCAGCATCAAAGGGCAACAAGAAAAAGGAAATTTCTTGCGGAGAAATCCTAGATCTTTGAGCTCGAGAGGAGAAGAATCACGATACGATACCAGTACTGCTTCGAATCGGCGATCCGCGACGGCGCGCCTTGCTCTTGAAACCCTACCCCAAAGGCGAAGCCAAAATATCACCGGGGCTGACCTAAAAAATGGAGGTAACGTCGGTTCCGTCTATAGATCTTTCAAGCCTCCAGCGGAATATTCCGTCAGGGCGTTTTTAGGGTTCTAGCGGGGGAGAGAGAGGAAGCCGCAATGCCGAAGTCGAAACGCAACAAGCTAGGTGAGCGATAGAATGCGCGATTTTCTCGCTCTCATCGTGATTTTCTCGCAGTTACATTGTCCAAGACGAAGAAGAAGGGCCGGGAGCACAAGGAATCCATTGTTACCGCCGTGAGGAAGGCGTCGGAGGAGTTTAGGGAGCTGTATGTCTTCTCCTTCGAAAATATGCGCAATGGGAAGTTCAAGGCTCTCCGGGACGAGCTCAAATCCAGCACCAGGTCTAAATTCCTTTCTTTGTTCTTCGCTGCTGAGATCTGTGACAAAATGTGGCTATACACAGATTTTTCCTTGGATCGAACAAGGTTCTGCAAATAGCGATTGGAAAGGGCCCTTCCGACGAGGTGAAGGAAGGGATCCATAAAGCCAGCGAGTTCCTTTGCGGGAACACGGGAATGCTCTTCACGAATTTGCCAAACGAAGAGGTGGCCAGGTTCGTTTTGAAGAAAAACCTTGCTTCGTCGCTCTAAGGGGAATGATATCGCAGGATTTTCACAGACTTCGAGGAGCTGGATTTCGCTCGAACTGGCAGCACGGCGACTGAGACGGTGCGTGTAGACAATGCTTTTGCTTTTGCGTGGTTTTCTTCGTGTAGCTCACTGTGAGTGACTACACAGGTGGAACTCAACGAAGGCCCACTGGAGCAATTCACGCACGAGATGGAGCCATTTCTGCGAAAGCAAGGAATGCCTGTTCGTCTAAACAGAGGTGTGAAGATCAAGCGAGAGCTAGACTAACTCCGGCTTGCAGGCGTTGTGGAGCTGGTCGGCGATTACACCGTGTGTCGAGAAGGCGAAGCAATCTCGCCAGAAGCATCGCGGATACTTGTGAGTCATCACGAAAAACCATCGCTTCTAGCGCTCTAATGTTTCTTCTTTCCTTGCAGAGGCTCTTGGGAGTGAAAATGGCTCCCTTTAGAATGAGCGTTTTGTGTCGCTGGAGTCCCAATGGATTTAAAGTTTTGAAAGCTCCCGAGAGCCAAAAAGTTTTGCAATAAGAAAAGCAAATATTTAAACTTGTGTGAAGAGCCCTAGCTTGCCCTAAATTTTGAGCATGGCGGACGCGCGGAATGCTCCACAGATCCTCCAGCACGTCTCCAAGACGCTCACCTGCACGATCTACGACACGCTCTGGGTCCCCAGCAGGTAATCTGTGTGGAATCCGTGGGAAAAACTCAGCTCTAGCAGCGAGCTACTGGGAATTTTTTATGTAGTGCGCGGTTCGTTCTCTTGGGATCGAGTGCGCGCTCCACAGGGACTATCCAGGTTACAAATGCATTAATGCAGGGATCTCTCCTGTTAGAACTTTAGAGTTTTTCTTACTTGGCTTCTTCTTTCCTGGTTTAAAACGAGAAGTTCTTTCTTATTTGCTTCCATAAACTCAGGTCTATGAGCTTCAAGGGAACGATGTCAACAAGCTCGACGAGGTTTGTTCTTGATGCGTACTGTGGCTGGAAATCAAGTAAAAAAAAACGAGTTTGCAGGTGGACAAGCAGTTTAGTTTCAAGTGTGGGACGTTTGGTGCCTCGGACCTTGTAAGCATCCTGTATCTGATGCTAAACAGTTGGATATTATTTTTTTCTTTTGCTTCAGGTAAATCGTCAGCTAGCAACAGGGGATTTTAAGGGAAACTTGCAGATCTGGGACCTCGAACGACTTGGTTATCCCGTCTACCATTGCAAAGGTAGATAGCTTTTTTTTTCTTCCCGACAAACCATATTTTTTAACACTTCCGCAGCTCATGAAACAATCATCAATGCGATTGATGGCGTTGGGGGCTCGGGGCTTGGTTTTGGAGCTCCAGAAATTGTTACGGGATCACGGGATGGTACTCTTCTGTTTAGCATATGTTCTGATTGATGAACTCCATTTCCTCAGGACGTGTTTGTGTATGGGATCCTCGGCAGAAGGACGAGCCAGTGAGTACCGTGTGGCATAGTTTTCTTTCTAGAATTTATATCGAATAAGCTGTGCTAGGTATCTTCGTTTGAGCCGGAGCGAGCAGACGCTGCACGAGACTGCTGGACAGTAGCATTTGGTAAGATGGCTGTGTCGCGTTTTTTCCTTCACCATGGCAAATTCTGGCATTGGCAGGAAATTCATACAATGACGAAGAACGTTGTGTTGCAGCCGGTACTATTTCCACTTTTGCCTCTTGTGCTGAGTTCGCTGCAGTGGCTGGTTTCTTTTATTTCAAGGCTACGATAATGGTGACATAAAGCTTTTTGATCTAAGGACTGGAAGCGTTCGCTGGCAGACCACAGTTCGGAATGGAGTACGTAGACGTGAATTTGAGCTTGAGCTTCTAAGTCTAATAAACTGCTGCAGGTTTGTGGTGTCGAGTTTGATCGCAAGGACGTCAAAATGAACAAGCTTGTGGCAACAACACTGGAAGCGACCTTTCATGTAAGTACATTCCATTCCACCTTAACTTTCAAGAAAGCTGAGAGCTGCTGGCAGGTTTATGACATGAGGACTCATCACCCAGAAAATGGCTACTCGTCCCTGACCGAGAAGGTGAGCTTTTGCTGGTATTTCTCGACATTTTATCTTTAGCGTTGTGATTTGAATCACAGGTATCTCACGGGACAACGATCTGGGGAGTGAAGCACCTCCCACAAAACAGAGATATCTTCGCCGTTTTAGGTGGTGATGGCTCTGTCAGCATCTACAAGTATTCGTATCCGGATCAACGATCGATGAAGGACGTCGATGGGAAATCTTACGGAGTAAGCACAATTCACATCTTCCATCTGAATTGTCTCACAATCCTTTGCTTTTGGTGACAGGTTCTGGGTCAAGTTCACCTTTTGTCGTCCAAAGTTCTCTCGACACAACCAATAGGTGCATTCGGCTGGTTAGTCTTTGCGTGAAAAAAAAAGAAAAATCTGGTTTAGTGGTGCTGATGGAAATGTTGCAGGAGCCCTGACAAGGAGGGTCTAGCCGTTTTGGGCTCTTTCGATCAGTGTTTGCGAGTTGGAATTGTGACCAAATTGAGCAAGAGTTAACTAGAAAATACTTCACGGGTATGCCACTTTGCATTCGAAGGTAATGGAAGTTGGCAACGACATTCAAGAGTATGTTTCCAGACTGAAGTTGTGTGGCAAAACTAGAAATTTGACTGAAGGCAGACGCATTCACGCATCTCTATCAAAGAGCCCGCATTGTGCAAATAGATTTTTGGCCAATTTAGTGATAGAGATGTACGGGAAGTGTGGTGATGTCGCAGGAGCCAAAGAAGTTTTTCATGGACTCGGTAGTCCTAATGTCTACTCCTGGAATCTCCTGCTGGCCGCTTATGCCCACAACGGGCATCTGGAAGAATCCAAGAGAATCTTTGATTCTATGCCGGAGCAAAACATCGTGTCTAGGAATGCCATGCTTGCGGCGTATGCTAAGGGCGGGGACCTTGATAAAACGAAGGAGTTTTTCGAGGCACTGGCTCAGAAGGATGAAATCTCAATTACCACCATGCTCCTGGCATATGCCCGTAACGGGCATGCCGATCAAGCAAGGGTTTTGTTTGATCAAATGTCCAACAAAGACATGGTTTGCTACACGACTCTAATCACCGCATATGCCCAAAGCGGAAAAGTTGACGAGGCAAGATACTTGTTTGATAGAATGCCGGAACGCGACGTTGTGTGTTGGAACGCCATGATCTCCTCGTACGCCCAACAAGGGCATACAGACCAGGCATATCATCTTTTCAAGAATATGCCTCACCCGGACGTGATAACATGGACGGCTGTGATCAGCGGGTGCGCCCAACATGGCCAACTTTCCCACGCAAAGGACTTGTTTAACAAGATGCCCCAGAGGAGCCTCGTCTCCTGGACGGCTCTGGTCACGGCTATGGCCAAGTACGGATGCACGGAAGATGCCCTTTTGCTATTCCACAAGATGCCCGAGTGGAGTACGGTCTCCTGCAATGCGGTGATTGCGGGCCTGGGCCACTTTGAGGAGATTTTCGAGAGAATGCCGTACAAGGACATTGTGACGTGGAATGCCATGGCGCAAGCTTATGCCGCGTTAGGAGATTTTGGCAGTGTAAAGAGAAGCTTTGACACCATGCCCGAGTGGGACATGGCCTCTTGGACAATCATGATACTGGAATATGCTCGCCACGGCCGTCTAGGAGATGCGAGGCTCTTGTTTGAAAAGATGCCTAACTGGGATTTGGTTTTGTGGAATGCCATGATCAACGCATATGCCACAAGTGGGCATTTAAGTGAATGTAGTAACTTGTTCATGCGGATGCCACAGCGTGACGCTTCTACTTGGAACTCTATGGTCTTTGCAAATGCCCATGCCGGGCATATAGATCACGCAAAGTGGCTTTTCGACCTAATGCCGGAGTGGAATGTAGTGTCATGGACAGTGCTTCTAGCAGCATATGCCCAAGCTGGGCATCTGGCTTACGCCCGTGAGATGCTGAATCAGCTGCCGTGCCAGCATGCCGTGCCTTGGAATGCCATGATCGGTGCGTATGCCCAGCTTGGGCATGGCATGGAAGCCATTCAAGCGTTTGGCGAGATGAAGAACAGGGGTGTGTCACCCGACAGCGTTACGTTCGTGAGTGTCATCGCTGCGTGTGTGAGCCTTGTGACCGCCGGAGTTAATTGGGAGCTCGTCCGCAGCGTTTTGAGCCAGATCGCTTATAGAGAAACCTGTGTCCTGAATGCCATCGTAGATATGTATGGTAAGCTTGGAGCCGTCGAGAGAGCTAGAAGAGTTTTCGACAGCATACCTCGGCCCACGACGGTTTCCTGGACGGCGATCATCTCGGCTTATGCTCAAAACGGATCACACCACGCTGCCCTGGAGCTTGTTCTTGCAATGGAAGCTGACGGTGTTAAGCCGGACGATGTTGCCTTTATCACCATTCTCACGGCGTGTAGCCATGCCGGGTTACTAGCTCAAGGCAGGAAGTACTTCAGGTCCATGAGCGAGGACCACGGCCTTCTCCCGACGATGGACCACTTTAATTGCATGCTAGATCTCATGGGACGCGTTGGATATCTGCAAGAAGCTGATGAGCTCGTCAACAGCATGCCTTACTTGCCTGGATCCATGGCATGGACGTCGCTGTTTAGTGCGTGCATGCTCCAGAGAGATGGTCGTCGTCGAGTTCTTTTTGCTGCTGAAAAGAGCTTGCGTCTTGACCTTAAAGATGCTGTTCCGTATCTAGCAGTATCAAACACACTATCTGCGTCGGAGAGAGGCCACAGTCTTAGAACGAAAAGAGGATGAAATTTTGCAGAGCGTTACCTGTTCGCATTCTTGATCGCCTGGAGTGGCCGGCGCTTGCACCTTCTTTTGCTGACGGGTGTAAGCTTCGGAGTCGCGTTTTCAACACCTGTAAATGCCTCACCGGGCTGGGACTGGATAGGAGGGCTCAAAACATCCAAACGGGTTGCCTGCCTCTTAACTCTTGGCGGCGTGTTGGCCTCCTTTGTTCTGGCAGCGTGAGATGGCGCTTGGTAGTGTAACATATCCTCGTGTACTTTCTGAGAGCTCAGAAGTTTCACTTTGAAGGGAGTCTCCGCCGTGAAGCACCCCGTTGTACCGCTTGGTGCATCCCGTTCAATTAGCACATTTCCATTGTTTACCTGCATTTGGAAGTTAACAAAACAGCAGTTTTGTAGATCACCAAATACCAGTTGCAGTAAAGCAGCGAAAGATCTTGCTACGTCGTGGCTGTCTTGCCCCTTCACTATCTGAGTAAAGGAGCTGACCCCATCAGATTGCTCCGGTGCTTCGTGTAAGCACCTCTCAATGATACGCTCCCCATAAACATGTATATCAAATGCAGGACGTGCATCCTGCGAGAAATATCAGCAAAACGTTTGAAGTGTGAAGCGTGGACATACCTGCTTAGCCAATGACGCTTCTACCTTCACCTTCCAGTTCGAAACGCGAGAAGCTAGTTCAGCTCGGAGCTCAGCTTCTACCAATGTTTGCATCACAGAATCCTATATGATCAGCCAGGTGAGTAGATGTCGAAGAGGTAAAAACATTCTACCCTTGTCGCATGGCACAGCTTTTCAAAAGATGTTTCCCCCTCCGGAGCATTCAAAGGTTCTGTTTCTCCGCCAGCTTCTGGAACAGTGTCATCCCATGGTTCGAAGTTGTCAACGTTGTCAGGTTCATCATCAGATTCCGGAGGTTCTGCAGCTGTTTGAAAGTCCGTCTTCGCCTGGCAACGGGAACTAAAAGTAAAATATAAATGCCAAAAGCGGCATTACCTTCTCGGCGGTTCGAGAGTTGGTTTTTGTCGTCCTTTTAAGTCGGTCAGCAGCTTCCTTATCCTGTAGCGCCTCCAAGAACTCGCAAAATGTAGTCCCGTTTCTCGTAGCCATTGGAAACTCCACATCAACCACGGGGGATTTAGTAGGCTTTTTCCTGGACAGAAGACCTGCTAAGAATGAGAAAATCTCAGTTAACAAAGGATCAATGAAGATAGCTTTTACCTCTCTTATACGGCTTTACTAGAAGCGTTCCTGGTTCGTGAGGATTGAGCCGTGCCCAGGGATCGTCCTCATCATCTTGCTGTTGTTGCTCGTCCGCGTGTGGGATGTTGTTAGCACCTTCAAGGGGTGCATCGAAGTTAATGTTTCTCGCCGAACACGGCTCAAAGTCGTCTTCTGGACCTTCACAAAAATCATCTCCCCCATAAGATGGCCGAGTTTTTTTGCCAGAGCTGGCTCTACGACCCGGAGTTGATGCTCTGTGGCTTCTCGATCGTGATGAGCTTGGAGGACGAGGAGTCGCTCTCTCAGCTCTAGGAACATATAAGTAGTTATCAACGGCCTCGGCATCGCAGGGGTCTAGAAGCAGGAAATCTCTATAAAGAAAGCTCGTTGCAATCTGGAAAGGAAAACCAAAACAATGAGAATCCAGAAGTAGAAAAAACCACTGACCTGGTAAGTTGACAATTCACCACCGTTTTTCATCGTCTCGAAAGCATCCCCTTCGACAACGAGAAGACTTGTAGGAGGCCTGTTTAGAGAAGGCGTGATGCCGATACTCTCGCCATCGTTGAGATCGATGTTTGTTTCCTCTGTAAGAAGTAGTCACGAACCACATAAGAGCATAACGCGAAGTACATACCAGGCACATCATCCAAGTTAAGAAACTCTTCCTCTTTCTCTTCCTCGACAACCTCGGCCTCCTTGGCACTCCCATTCTCGGGCAAAGCGCACTTCTTTTGGGTGATGAAGCTCAAGGCCTGGAGAACAAGCGCGTACAGGTACTCGACCTTCTTGCTATACACCTGGGTCGATCCCTGGATGAGCAGCGCCGCTGGAGTTGGAAAAAACTTGGCTCAGGGATTTTCCTATCTCACTAGATCGACACATACCTTCTGCGAAATTCAAGCAGCTCTGCCCATCTTGAAACAGCGGTGTGAGATGGAGCTGGGAGAGATACTCCTCCAGCTCCTGCGCGACATCCACAGACCAGTTCTCTCCCAAATCCCTGCACGGCTGGAGGAGATGCGCGTAGCGGGGCTCGCCCTCGCCCGACGCCATAGCTAGAGCCCTAGCATTCAAATTTTTGGCGGGTAGACGCTGGATACCGTCCGCGTGGACGGTTCACAAAATTCAGCTGAATGCAGTTACGGGCAACAAGGGTAAGGATTTGGGGGTTTTTGGCCTTAGGGCGAGCCCATTCCATCTCTCGCGCCATCGTCTAGGGCGAGGGCGGAGCCATCGCGATCCGGTGCTTGGATGAAGAGGATTCCGATAGTTTGCCACCGGCATTGCGATCGTCATCGCGATCAGGTACTTGTTCTTGGAGAATGCAGCGGAAGCCAAAGCCTGCGTCTGGGGCGGGATTCGGCGTGGTTCCTCCCTATCAGCCGAATATCGTCCCTCGCGTGAAGATCTGGTTTCCTCCGGCGTTCACAGCCAAGTACAAGCCAGAGCCAGAGCCAGCGCCGGCGGAGATCAGCTCATATCCGTCGAAAAAGAGAGATTTTGATACCTTCGCTCAGGATGCCGAGGTGTGTAGTTTCCAGGGGGAGGATATTGGAGGCTATCCTCCCAGGGCGGAGGAGATTTTGCTGTTCCAGGACTTGAAGCGTAGGCGCGGCGTGCGTTTCACCTTGAAGGATATTGAGGAGGACGAGAATGCCAAAGTTTTGGCCGAGAAGGAGATGAGGAACTTTGAGGGGTTCTCTCGGCCCCGACCACCTGAAGTTGGGAAAGGCCCTCCAGCTATTTCGCTGTCGATCGACTTGTTCGACAATCCCGAGATCGATCTCAAGCATCCCTCCACGGACATTCAAGAGGTAAAACTTTTCTTATAACTGGTTGCTTTCTTAGTTTTGTGTGTTAACTTCTAACGCACAGGCCCAAGAACGTGGTGAGAAAGGAGCCAAGGCAAGAGCAAGGTTTTATGCCTCTACGGGCCTTTGTGAATGGGTACCTTGTTACGTGCTCGAGTATGACAGAAAGAACGACACTTACTTGGTTGAGTTTACGTTTAACGAGAAGAGAAAGGTCATAAAGAGGTAGTAGCTGCTCATGCTTATGGATCATACTGATAATCGGGGTCTATGCAGGCTAAGTTTCATATTGGACAGGGAAAGAGAGCGCGCATTTGTCGCCAGAGTGTTTGCTGCCAAAGACCTTCGAACAAGGATTGAAACTCAAATGGTAATCTTTTATGTGCTCCTCGTCGTTCTTCTATAATCCTAATCAATAAATTCTAGTTCAGCGCTATTCCGCGTATGTTGAGGACCTTCCATTCAGAAATCCTGAAGTGATTGACGATCAGCTTTTGAATCGCGTTTTAAACATGTCTGGAGTGGAGCTTTCTAGAAAGTTTACCGCCACTGTTGCTGACTATTTCGAGGACATGAAACGTGACTATCGTCTCAGTGTAAACAGCTCGATTCTCAACCATTATCAGCTTCTCAACGAAGAGGAGCGACCTCGATTTGCCGCTCTTCAAATATTTTCCAAACTAAAGCAGGAGACATTGTGTCCAAGGTAGTTCTCGTTTTTGTTCTCTCATGTTTGTTTAAGTCGGGATGCTGCAGACAGGGTTGTGTTCCTTTGGTATTTGATACACCGTTTTTCTTCGTACGGGAAAGCATATCTAGAACACTCTGTGTTGCTGAAGAGGCTTTTCTGCTTGGTTTGCAGCTGTATTACAAGGAGATGGACATCTCAGAGGTTTCGCTAGTCGATCCACAACTTTACAGGGATCAGAGACCATGGTTACTAGAAAATTTTCGTGAAACCCAAGAAGAGTATATCAGGGAAACTGTCGAGTACTTCAGAAACGAGTACGTACGACATTCTATCAAGTTTAAAAGACTAATTTTGTTGTGCAGGTGGGTGCCGAAAGTCGTTGGCATTATTGACGAGTTGGTGTCCCCAACCGCTCAATATCCACAACGATCGATGGAAAGGCTTATGAACTACATGATGCGGCTGTCGCTGACAATGAGGGAACAATTGGAGATGGTGATTTTGCTATCTACGTCTGGTTACCGTAAACTGTGGGAGCAGTATTTGCCGTCAGAAGAAAAGGTGTCTGAGCATCAGGGGATACACAGGCAGCCGTTGTTCACCATCCAGCTGACGGTGGCTGATAATGAGTTTGTTTTTGTGCCTTCTCTAGAAACAGTCGAAAGCACGGTACTGGGCATCTATGACCACGCTATTCAGTCCATCAAAGGGATAGAAGATTTGCAGTCAAGGTTAACTACTGTCACAAATCTTCTCGTTTCCAATGAGATATATACACTACCACCGGACGAGATACGGCTTGTCGCATCCCGGAAAAAGATAAAGGTTCCTCGTTCTTATCATTCTCTTGCTCACGTAATACTTACACCCTGTGATCTGCAGGAAATTCTAGAGTACAACTTTCAACCAGCACGCAAGCTGCAGGAAGATTATCAAGAATACAACGACCTTGCGCATTTGAATATTGACACTTTTGCAGAGGTGTATATTGTGGCTAAGCATTCTCTCGAGGACTACGAGCAGACAATCACGAATTATTTGGAGGTATGTTTGATGATAGTTTAGGCGTTGCAGCTGATCGATTTGCTCACAGGTTGCAGAGGCTGCATTTTGGAGATCGGAGAGGGAAGTTGTAGTGCCAATGTTTCACATCGATTGCACAACCATACGTGATTTCCTCTACAAGAAAGCTACTGCTATAGCGAACAAA